CTCCATAAGAAAATTTGAGATTTTACCCCTTTGTCTGGCTGCTTCACCATTCTGGACACTGAGGGACAGACAGAGGGTGTGGCAGGCCATAAACATCAACGGTGCCAGTGTCTTTGAGGATGGAAACACTAACCCTAACCAGCCAAAGCAGGGACCCACATGGGGCAGAGCCTCCATGTGTAACCCTAACCATGTGGCCATATTGTCAAATACTATATATATACACACACACATATATATATATACACACATATATATATATGCACCAAATGCCATATATATATACACTATATAAACTATACATTATATAATATATATATGATATAGTATATATACTTTGTGTATATAAAGCTTATATGTAATGTATATTAGTAATGTATATTATATATATACACTTTATGATTTTGACAAAAATGTCTGTTGGAATTTAGGGTTGAATATCTATATGTAAACAATCCATGGCAAATTCTCAGTAGACATCATAAAATTAGTTTGAATATCTGTGTGTAAGATGATCAGGTTCAAACAAGGTGTCACAACTGAGACCAGATGTATCCTGCCTCCAGAAATAACAGGAAAACACGGTGCAATTTCTTAAACACATTTTAAGCTGTTTGACATCAGGCAACAAAGGCAGTGCCCAATGAGAGAGGGAAAATCATAGAAAGGAGCCCTTTGATGAATGCACACTCAGACACTTCCCTGAGGGAGGCTCCAGGCCGCAGGGTTGGAGTAGAACCAGGTAGATTTGGAGTTTAGAAAAGGGAGCTGGAAACCCAGAGAGGCCCAGATGTGTGAAGACCAGAAAACACAGTGGGTGGCAGAACACTGTTCAGAGAGAGAGCCCCGCAGATGGCAGGAGGAGACCCAGGCTTGGTACAGTGCAGATCAGTGAGTGGGAGACAGGGCAGGTTGGGCCTGAGGACAAACCCTACTAGAAGGAGCTCTCTTAAAAATCTGAAACTATCAAAAAATATACAAAACATTTGCCTAAAAGGCATAAAATACACAGGAAGGTACCATAATAAAGCCAAGTAAAGGACAGGTGGATTCACTACCTTAAACCTGGAGAAGTGTATTTATAACCACGTGATAACACCAAAGAGGGAGGACAGATTAATTCCACCACAGCAATCGGCTTAAGAGAGA